TAGTAGCAGGAAGAAGAAATGTGGCTTTTTTGGCCATCTTTTTCACCTGATAAAAGCACAGTGTGTGTAAAAGCCTAAGGATAACAGAAAAAGAAAAGGACTTTGAGAAATCCTAAGTGAGTTGAGATGACAGGAGCATAAAAGCAAAGGGGTTAAACCTAGTTTGAAAAACTAGATGAGGTGTTATAACGAAAGTAAATCTTAAGTTGAACTTTGAAGAACAAAAAATGATTTTACCAAGTAGCGTTATAGAAGTGAGCACAAAAACTGAGCATTAGCCAAACAGCAGGAGCAGTAAAACCCATAATGTTTACAACAGCAAGCAGTGTGGCTTGGCTGAGTTAAGGGCAGCACTTCTGAGCTTGTTTCTACCTTACCATCCTGAAAGATGATACTTATAACTCTTTCATATTCATACCCTGATTATGCCAGAGTTAAGTGAGGCAAGATATGGAGTTATATATGAATGCCAGCTCTCTGACTATAATTCCACACTCTCCCACCTGCCAGTCCTTTGTGACACCAAATCTAAGGCCCACTAATGCAGGCTTTTGTAGAAGACAATGAAAGATATAGCTAAGAAAGTTAGTTACAGGCAGAGCTCAGAGCTCGGAGGTGCTCAGATGCCAGGCTAAGAAACTGAAACTTAGGGAAGGCAGTAAAATGTCTCTGAACATTTTTGCATAAAACTAACGTTTCTGCATAAAACTGCACTTTTCAATCATTTATTGGCAAGATGGGTAAAATTAAGCAGAAAGAGCCTAAGATGTTTCTTCTCTATCCTCTTCTACCAGGCATAGCTAATGGATTGGGAGACTTTTCCCCTAAGCTTAAATAGATTTTCAAATTCTTCCCAGCCAAGTGTTGTAACGTGATGAGGCAAGCTGAAATCTAATGTGCTATGGGCAGGCAACTACTGAAGAGGTGAGACACCATTTAAGAGGGAAGGGAGTGGAAATAGGAAAGGAAAATTCCTTGAGAAGTACTGGTGAAGCATGTCAATAGGACTTAGAACTTGCTTAATGGAAGATGGGGAGCAAGTAAACAAATATTACTCCAGTTTTCTAAGGTTGTGAAAGAGCTGTGGTGCTATTGATATAAGGGGAATAGATGTAACTCCCAAACCTAGCAGATGTTCAAAACAGGAGTCCGTGTTCTCTAAAACTGAAGAATAAATTCTAGGTACAATGGAGGTTAAGAGTAGGAAAAATTTATTGAGAGAAAGATAGTTTCTGTCTAAGAGAGAGAGAAGGGGAACTGGAAAATGGGTTGCCCACCCACCCCACTTTTCAAAGGTGTTTTATATGCCAAAGCCATGATGTAAGGCAGGTATAAAGAGGGACAAAACCATAAGACCCAATGGAAAATTACAAGGTGGGCATGAGATGGGACAAAATCATGATCAAGCAGTAAGATTACAAGTACAGTCACCCAGGTAATATTGATTAAATGGGGATCAGTTGGGAAAACAAGTCCCATACAAGTCTGCACAATTTCTGGAAAGGGAATGAGCTAGGGAGATTGACGTCTATTTAGAATATCAATTGCTTATTCATCCTAGGGGAAGAGTACTTCTTTTTATAATGCTAACCAGTGAATGTGCCTCGATTCTTTTTTTTTATGCTGCAGGCCCAGCTTTGTCTAACTGCCTTATAATAATTTCTAACTAACTTAGCTATCTGCAGTGCTACTAACCAAAATAATAATAGTAAGTTTTAATTCAAAAAAGGAAAAGGAAAACACACTAATTGACAAAGGAAAAAGAAAATAAAGTTTGAGTGTTTGGAATAAAAACCAAACCTAAAAGCATCAGAATGAAGGTTGAGTCTAAGATTTGTAGCAGCAATCACAAAAACAAGAATCTTTTGAATATAAATAACATTTCTCTCAAAAACTCTCATCTGTATTGAAAGAATGTATATGAGAGAGAAGCCCATTTCTTATTTCCCCTAGAAATATTACACTGTTCAAGAGTTTCAGTAGAACTAAATAGGAGGAAAGGTAAAAAGCCTGATGCAAAAGAGGTTTTCTTTTTGTTTTTTGTTTTGTTTGTTTTTCTTTTAGTTGGTTTTGGTGCATGAAATTGAACCTCCCCACTTAGCTTGTACATCTAAGTAAGCATTCTTACACCCTCAGCTTCTAATTGTTTTAATGACCTGTCTTTCAACTTTAGTTGCATATGAAGTTCTGACTTATCAGACTTGTGAAAGACTTGATCATACAATGAAATGCTTTATTCTGCCACATCTAGCTCAGGACAGTTTTCATGCAATAAACATGGGTGTCCCTGTTCAGAGCAAGGGAGCTGAATTTTAAGCAATCCTCCTTACAGGAAAGCGATGAAGGATTGTGGTTTAGCGTATAGCTTCTGGATTAAGATTCTTTGAGTTCAGTTTGAGCACTGCCCTAATCTGAGGAAGTCACTTAATTTTTCTGTGTGTTCACTCCCTCATCTGGAGTAATAGTGTCTACTTAAGGTTTCTCTGAAGATGCATTTTTATGAGAAATACATGTTAAATGAACTCAATTATTAAATACAACTGCTTCACAATGGCTTTGTTTTAGCATAAACACTTTTATCAAGTGCTAATGAATAACTTTTCTTGCACATTATTATAATGTATAGGGAGTTTTCATTTTCTAACAGGAAAAAAATTTTTTTTACATTTTTATTCTCATTATTTATTACTATTTTGGCTACATTCTCTATGATTTCAGCAGTATCTTAAAGAGACAATGTGTCTATGTACAGTGAAAAAACAAAATGTCTTTCAACATCAGAAATAAGAGCCACAGTTTAACTATACAATTCTGTGGTATTCTGGGGATTCTGTGGTAGGTATAATTTCTGTTATCTGCCACATGAACAACTTATATCAAGTAGGAGCATTATAAATGTGACAATAAAGAAAAAATTCCTTATGGGAGGGAAACACTGCATCCTAAAAAATATTGGGTTTCTACTATACAAGGCAGTTAGGAAGTATTCACATTTTAACAAATCTGTACAAGCCACAAAAAAACTTGTTTATAGGACTGTCATCCCACCTAATAAGAACTTTTCTAGAAATGTCAAATAATCAAGAACAGTTTATAAATCTAGAATCTATGTGCTCCCCAGCCCTAGAACCCAGGAAACTGAACTAAAGAACTCAATATGGCCAACACGGATCATTTTACATTTCTTGACTGTTAGTGAATGCCCAATATCTCTTTTAATATTTGCCTATGATGCACAGTAAACTTGTACCTTCAAAGGTCATTTAACTTTTTAGCAAAAGAAGCAATGTCCTTTAGCAGCAATTAAAGCACTTTTAAGAAGACTTTAAAAAAATACAATATCCAATTAGAAAAGCCATATCTTAAAACATTTGAATAAGAATAAGCTGCTAAAACTTAGTAATTGAATAGGACATCTGTACAACAATTTACAATAGAGCTAGAAGGAAATTTATCATTATCCTGCATAGAACTGGTCTGCATTTGGTTACATACTCTCTCTTGTTTTAATGAACAAGTTCTGTTACCAACAGAAAAATACATGTTAATAATTCTAACAAGGTGAAAACACTGGAGAGTTTACAATTTAGTGAATACAAATGATTCCAAAACAAACAGCTTTTTCTTTAAAGGTGTAAAGTATCTAGAAATAGAAACCCTCCCTTTAATATAACCAGTGGAAAGAAAAATGGACATGTGAAAGTGGGAAGGGTAGGGGAAAGGTAATAAGAAAAAGGAAAAAAATAGAAAACTTAAAAAGGGAAATAAAATGTTTATAGATGGGGAGAGGAGGAGGGGGTGAAGGGAGAGCAGGGACAAGGGGAAAAAATGAGAACCAAGACCTGTTATGTAAAGGTACAAGTGTGAGAGACTGCTTGGGCCTGCATAAGAAGGCTGCCCTCAACCTTAGCCTTTGCCTCAGTGGAAAAATCCCACTAGACTACATACGTGACCTTTGGCAGGTCTAGCCCCTGGGCAAAACAGGAAATCTTACAGAAAAAATAGCCCTTTGTGCTAACCACAGGGTCACCGGATCTGGAGCAGGAAGCAGGTGGTATTTTCCCCGTCCTACTTGCCCCTAGGGATTGTGCACTTACCCCTCCCCACATTTGGTAAAATACTGATTGCTGTATGGTTAAATGCTTGAATGACTCATGTGATTGGTAGAGGATTTGCTTGAGCTGTCCAATAAGCTTGCTGAACCCTCCCCCTGGGATAACAGTATATAATCGTTTTGCTGAGCCAATAAAGCGCCTTTGATCAGAAACCAGACTTGGGCCGTGTACTCTAACTTCTTAAAGATTTCCTCCACAGACATTCAAGATCGGATCGGCCTCTGATGACCCACGAATAAGAGGCGGCTCTCACCTCCTATTCCCCGCGGGACGGGGTCCCCCCAGAGAGCCGCATACAAGAACCCAATAATGAATGTAACTGTACTGTATACCTAAAATGTACCAATAAACTCAACAAGGAAAAAAAAAAACGAAAAATGGACATGTGATTTTTGAGGTACAACTTGGTAAAAGCCAGAATAATCAAATAACAAAGTCTAACTCTGTCCAAAGATTTTAACTTTCACATTCTATTATTATAAAACACAACGCTGTCATTCAGTTCTTACTTCAGTTTCAGCAGATAAAGTGCTGAAGGCTGAAAAGTGACTGCAGGCACTGTAGTTCTTGTGTTAGAAATGTCTCATATTTTTCCCATGTGTTTTTAAGTAATGAAAAACTATCCTTCATATTAGAACTCTCTAGTAATATATTTAAGTATTATAAACATTCTGTACAGTGTTCCCCCAAATAAACAATCCTATTTTTCTTGAATCTCCGCATGGTATTCCTGTCTCGGCGGCAGGAAGCCACCCCGCGCAGCTCAAGGTGAGCGCGAGAAGGGTACATTTATTTATTCACTGTCCGTTATCCACTCTCATACAAACAATGATATGAAGAAAGTCCGATCACAAACAGTCCTTAACCATGTCCCGTGTAAAAAAGAAAACAGAAAACACTCAAATGCTCTCAAAACTCAAGTGTGCATCTGGAAGCAATGCAAAGGCACCATGACGATCCTGAAGGAAAGTCGTCAGTAAGTGATTGTGCTTGAAGAAGGGGGAGTGGGAAACGCCGTCGGTCCAGCCCTGTGGATGCTTCCTGAAGCATTTGATCTTCTCATGTGTGTGAGAAGGTATGGATCATTCACCAGCTGGGGCACATCACATCGACCTTCTTTTCGGTATGCCAAACAGCATCTTATGAAGGCCTTGGCTTCACTGTTAACAACTGGTTTTACAGGGAACTGGACTTCAGTGGCTTTTAGTATTGTATTTTCTTGAAGAATGTCTTGTTGAGGTTGATTGTGACCAAATGGCTTTCTACCACAGAGACACTGAAAAAAGGTGACTCCATCTGACCACATTTCAACCTTGTTGGAAATCTTTTGTGGCTCTTTTCCAACTACAAAACATTCAGGAGGTAAATACCAGTAAGGGCCTGCTCCTTCGGAGGTTAGATCCATTCCATCTACACCATAGCTGTCATCATCCATAATTTTGGACAGACCAAACCAGTAATTTTGATTTCTCCACATGCTGTCCCATCTACAAGAAGGATATTGCCTGGCTTAAGATCATGATGTGTAATTGGAGGTTTGATCTCACTGAGGTATGTTAGTGCATTTACAATCTCCCTCACAATAGACCTAGGTTCTTTCTCTGACATTAATTTGTGTTGTTTCACATAGAAATCTAAGTCATTGCCTTCACAGTATTCTAACAGTGTACAAAGGGCACCTGTATCCAAGAAAAAATAGTCATACAGTTTTAACTGTTCTGGGGTGATCCAATTCTTTGTGTGTTCTATACTCTCTGCAGGCATGTTTGTGGTAGTTTTCTTGTTTCTCATCTCTCCAGCTTTTATTAAGCTCATAGATCTCCACAGAAGCATATCTTTGTTCATATAGGTCAAAAGCCTTATACATTTCACCAAAGCCACCTCTTCCAAGCAGATGAAGTAATAAATATCTTTCATCTAACGTGGGGTGATCTTTGAACTGTGAATTATCTTCATTGTTTATTCTTTTGAGTTAAAGAGGAAAACCCTTTTTGGTTTAGATTGACTGGAAAAGGAACTTCAAGAACCTGTAAATGAATGATTTCCCACCATACAAGATATTCTTACCCATTCTTACTTTCTTCAATCTTTAAAGCGATCCTAACCCTAGAGCTCATCTGCTCTGGATGCCAGTCATACCTAGTCTTCCTGTGTGTAAGGATAGGAAGATGGACTTTGACAAATGGCCTTCTATGCTGGAGCTTACAAAAAAGCTTTATTTTCTTTTTTTTCTTCCTTTTTTTTTTCCTTTCAGGACTGGGATTAGAACCTATGGCCTTATACATGCAAAGCATGCACCCTGCTACAATCAGGGAAAGGGTCAAAAGTGATGAAAATCATCAAAATTCAGGTGTTTGCTAAAATGACATTGGCTGCTGCCTTTCCGCAGAGAAAGTGACTCTTTCCCCTGGGAAAAGATAGCCTTGAGTGCACTATGATAGTGTCTTTGGTTTTAGCCAAATCCAAGGCACTCTGCTCTAAGTCTTGTTGGCATGTTGGCACCAAGCCACTTTGGTCTGAACACAGCTTAAGAAACTAACAAACAGGGTACAGTGTTGGCATTTTCTCTCTCACCTGCCAAAGGCTCCATCTCATGTCTCGTGCAAGATCCTTCCCCAGAGCATCCCCCTTCATCTTTGGTTCCATCCTTTACCTCGTTGTGTAGTGACATATTATTGGAATGTGCTCATATCTGCTGTACTTTTATAATAAACTTACTTTCATCTATATAAAATCAGGATGTGGCTCTTCTCTGTTGGTGTGGTGTATATGTAGCTTCTTGCTGTTACACACAGAGGCACACTCCCAGCCCCAACAAATTTTTTATTCCTACTTCTAGTAACCCAGAAATGTAAAGGAACTGGAAACAGATAAGAGCCCCAAAGGCTTCCTTATACATCTCTTACTAAGATAGTGTCATAAAGATGGAGTTACAGTATATGATATGATTGGCAGAATGTGCAAGTCTGAGCATTTAAGAAAGTAGTGCCCAGCCCCAGAAACCAGAACTGACTTCACCAGAACACTCCCCATTGACAAACACTTAAAGTACTCCTGTTGAGCAAAAATTTATCTTGGATGTATCATAATATTCTACTCCACAATACAAAATAATATTTTACTAATGCCATTTTTCTCCTAATGTCTTAAAGTGCCTTTTACTTCCTTGTCGACAAATTTTCTGCAAGAAGTAGTGCCACAGAAGTGCTGCTAAAAATGTTGAGACCAGGCTCACCAGGCATAACAGGCCTTGATGTATAACCTTTGCTAATTTCTGTCGTAGAAATAGTCCTACCATTGCTAATTTTAAGCAACCAAAGGATGACACTCCTGAAAGCAAAGTTGGGAAGATCTGTATACAGCCAAACTAAACTGCCTCCAACATACCATTGTGCAAACCACCTCTTAAGGTACACAGAGGAATTGTCAAGCACAGTATCAGATGATCAGGCTATGCTTAGAGCTGAGGAAGCAGGGTAGAGCAGGCATTGAGACTGGATCCTCCAGGTAGATGTTGAAACCATTTCTAGCTAATGTAGTCTGCTTTGTGTAGCAATGTTTCAAAGCTGTTCATTATGTCAACTGCTCCTCTCAGACAAGTCTAGTCTGTAAGGGCAGTTAGACCAATTAGATAACAATAAGAAAAAATAAAATGGTTTCAGATTTTCTGAGACCTTTGGCAGTCTTTTCTTGGCCAAGTCCTAAGAAATTGGCAAAATTCCAGTAAAATTCTCTCCCGGTCCCCAGTGCCAAACTATGCACTTCCCTCTAGCGGTACTAATGGCTGCTACCATACTGTCACCTTCCATTCTCTTCAAATGTTTTGTGGCTGAAGCCATTCCTAGCTAAAGGTGTGAAGAGAAGCCTCACATAGATACAACTGTTTTTTGACTGCACCTTTTTTTAGAGAAATCTGGGACAATTTTTTTCATGCTAAATGTGAAGATAGCTGAATGGTACAAGTTGGAATCACAGCCAAAGAGTCCCTTGCTGCAGCGGAGCTGTATCGGAGTTCCCTTCCTTCTAAGATAACCGCAGCAGTCAGATACAGTGATACTGGGCGATTCCAATTTTGAAACCTTGATACTGAGGAAGAATAAGCAGCCACCTCAAAGTTTCTATGACCATCTTTTCAGAGTTACCCATTTCACTCTAATGCTAGTAAAACTTCCTGGTACTTGACCCAAGGAGAGGTCCAGATGAGCTTTGTTCCTTTTCTTTCTCTCCACACTGCATTTTCACTAGCTATTTGGTATGTTCTGTGCTTCTTATACTTCAGCTCTTAGCAGGGACATGGATGTTCTTTCTCTGAGGGGAGAAATGAAGAGACTGACAAATTATCACTCCAGGAAAGTCATAGGAAGGTTCCAATTTGGAAGAACTTTCAGGTCTTCTCCGGACATCTCTACTTTAACCCCTAAGACAAGGTTTCCAGGTATCACTTCACATCACAGCTATTTTCCCTTGGAAGCAGTGATGAGGACTGACCATGTCTTTGCTCAACCTCCTACCAAGAAACCACCTCTCAGAATAATGGAAGGAACACAGAGAGGAAGTAGGGATAGTGCAGTGTAAATTTTGAATATTCAAAACATGTTATTTATGAGAAGGGACCCCCCACACACAGAGAGTTAATTTCTTACACCATGTCTTCCTCTTAAGCTTCTTACACATGCCTGTTCTGGTGCTTACTATTCGATGAGTGTGTAACAACCAAGAGGCAATTTGGCCTTGTAGTCCTGTCCTATCTCTGTTCTCAGCATCATCCCAGGGGTTGGCACACAGGATCCCAGTGCTAAAAATGAAGCAACTGAAGTTCAAGGAAATTCAAAGAGCTAATAAGTTGCAGACACAGAATTTGAATTTACATCTTTTGATTCAAGGAAGTTCAAAGAGCTAATAATTGCAGACACAGAATTTGACTTTCCATCTTTTGATTCCAGCTGCAGCAATCTTGCTGGTGTAGTGGCTGAACAAGGACCTTGGAGTTAGGGAAGGTAGAAGGAGCCACAAGACCAGGAGCAAATGCTGAAGTCTTAGGGCAGAGGCACTTCCGATTTGATAGGTTTCATCTCACTTCAAGGATGACACACACTACTGGCCTTTGTAAGCTTCTGTTCATCAAACTCCTAAAATAATTTTTTATATTGAACACTTTTAAAGGTGACATCTAAAAATTCTATGTTTCAGTTAGTTGTAAAAGTTTTATCTAATTTTCTATAAATTGTATCTATATTTTAACTACATTTTGGGAAAAACCTTGAACATCAAAACCAACTTATAAATTTAGAGAAAATATATACCACAGAACCTCATTAGTCAAACCAACTCCATTACCAAATCAGGTTGCCAGATCAACACAATATTAGGCAACATCTGACTTCATGTTTTACTTTCTATAAATGGATTCATATATATGCCCTATCCCTGTACTAACCTTCCTGCTCCTTAACTGTAATTATGACACAGAAAGACAAGGCACAGAGTGTAGACAAAAGGAGATTGAGTCTGCTTTTTTTCTTGTCTCTTGCAGGCTCCGTTTATAAAGCAATGTGTTCTGAAAACATCTTTTTGTAGGATGCCCAGAGAATTCTCTACACATGGGATCAAAGCACCATCCTGAGATTCCGGAGGAGTGTGACCTCCAATGAGTTCTGGGGTAGGGGATATCTGGAAAGGTGTTCAAATGGACGTTGAGGATCTGGACCTTGATTCCCTGAGATGCCAACTGCTTCCTGTTCCCCTAAGTCTCCAGCTCCTCCATCTTCACCACATGTACAACGCTTGCATATTCTGCCCTCACATCCCAGTTGTCCACTTGCCAGACTCAGTGTCCTCCAAATAGTCTCACTGCTTGCTGTTGAGGAGACCCAAGTTTTGTTTGTTTGTTCATCAACCCCCAGCCTTCAGAGCCTGGGTTCCAAATTCCTTGCTTTCATCACATTTTCATAACCTTAGCAAACCTTTCTGACTCCGGGGAGAGTGATTTAAGGAGATATTAAGCTAGTTTATATAAAAATGTTCATGGGCCGGGGATTTAGCTCAGAGATATGGTGCCTGATTTGCAAGCACAAGGTCCTGAGTTCTATTCCCCGTACCAAACAACAACAAAAAAAGAAAATGAAAATGTTCGTCACCGACCACCTTATTTATCTATTTTTTTTCCGACTACCTTACTTATCGACGGAATCTCCCATTGGCTAGAAATTCTGGTTAATATAAGAGAATCTATGGGCACTGAGAAGGAAATATTTTGGGTGATTCCAAGATATTTTAATAAGTTTTGATCACTGTGCTGGGAAGCATAACTTTAAGTAGGGTCTAAGCCTGACAAGCACTATCCTATCAGTTAAATCTGACAGTGGTGCTACCTAGGAAAAGTCACCAATGTCCTGTAGTCAGTTGGTGGCTGACATTGCAGTATCAGAAGGGAGATAGAATGAGATCCAGACAAAGTTTAAGTCCCAATATTCTTGGAAATTCCTTTAAATCCAAATCTTTGAGGGTACTTTGAGTCTGAGTCTCAGATAAGTGAGAAAATAAAAGTGACAAAATAAAAGCCAGGTATGGTGGCACATGCTTCTAATCCTGGCATCCTGAGAGGCTGAGGGAGGAGGATATTCAAAGTGATAGGAAGACCCAAGTGAGCCCATCTAAGAGATTCCTTAAAGAAACTGAGATTCTGAAGGTTACTTCAGATATAGATAGAGCTATAGAGATAGAGATATAGACATAGAAATGTGGCTGAAGTTGTCAGGTTGTAAGAAAAAGAAAAGGCCACATTTAAAGTGATGCATCTCTCACTCAGGCATATGGTAAATTGGGAGAACTTCGCTCTTTAAATCTAAAGGTTTGAATCTTGCCTTCCAAAATGTGGTAGAAAAATGGACTTCTGCCACTTGGCTTCAGCAGTTCAATAAATAACACTTTAAACCAAATCCATATCTTTGACTCCAGATATAAAGATTAACAGCAAGAAGAGCAAAAAAGATGTCTTTTGAATTCTGCTGTTGTAACGACATTCAGATGACCTGACCGTACAGCACCAGAATCAAGATAATATTTTTAAAACTCTTCCATTGCAATAAGAACAATAAATGAGGATGAAAGATCTGCTACCCCACTTCCCTGCACCCCTATACTTATTCTTACAATAAACTGCAAGCTAATAAACATCTGTTCTTTTCCTTGTCCAAGGGATCTTGTTTGATAACATAAACAACCATCTCTTTGTTCTCTCTGGAGAAAACAAAACACTATCAATCAGCAAAGCTACGTACCCAGACAGGCTGCGGCAGCTGCTCATTCAAAACTGCGTATCATTCCTCTGCAAGCCTGAGCTCCGGAAGCTTAAGTATCCTATGCCCCACTGCTCTGAGCAGTGCTGCAGGTTAACTCCTGGAGGCCAAGGCTCACCAGCTTAACCACTTGCCTGCTGACTCACGCTGCAGGAAGAGCACACCCCTGCTGAGCCTACTGAGAGACAAAACTCACCATGCTTGGAAGATCACACCTGGAGTTTGTCATTTTTAAACCCTGCACGAATACCACCTGGAAGGCAGTTACTCATTTTCTCAGAGCCACCGACCTGTGGTCCTCTTTCATTTGGGGAACACTCTGTTGTTTCCCACCATATCAACTACACACCACTAAAAGGAGACTTTACAGTACAAATCAATGCAGAGATGGAAGGGAGGAACATTTTGGATACATGAGTTCAGCTCTGGGAAAGAAGATGTCCTCTTGCTTTTCTATGGAGGGTCTGGAGCTTTTTATAGAGATTGCATGACATAGAGGAAATTAATTGTACGTAATCACCTTGGTAGTTTGCAGAAACAAATAAAATGGTGTTTAAAATTTCCCTGGTGTACATCTGAGGCAAAACCAAAATCAACTTCCTGCAGAATTGCCCCTATTCTAATCTACATGGAAATTACTGGGACTCCCAGGGCCAAAGTTCATTTTTCTAACCTTTTGGCCCTGATTAGCAGGCATCAAAGGCAAGCAAAAGAAAACAGAAAATAAAGACTTTGAGTGTTTGATCGGGTCTTTATAGTCCCCTTCATCCCACCTATGTCACCATGCAGGAGGCCCTGAAGCCTAGAATTTCTGAAGAAAAATGACACTGTCCTTTTGATTATTGGTGAATCACTTTGAGTATCAAGTTGAGGGGCAAGAACTTAAAACTAGGGTAAGTCTCTGTCTGCCAAAAGAAAGTCTACTGTGGACCGCATGAGAAATTAGAAGTTAGGTACAAAGCAGGCAAGTGTGGCACAAGTGTTGGTGAAAAATGAACTATTAACTAGGTGTGGGAGCACACCTATAATCCCAGCACTCTGAGAGGCTGAGGCAGGAGGATTGTAAGCTTGAGCCCAGCCTAGCAAATTACATCTTAGTGGGACTCAAAATAAACATTAAAAAATATAAAAATGAATAAGGCTGAAGGGTGCTGTTCGTGTGAAGAACTGTTGAGGTCAAGAATGAAATAGACAGGTAGCCCCTTGAGAACTGAGGTTGGGGACTAACGGCACAGGTTCTCTTTGCCTTCTGCTGACTGCAGCTGCAGGGCTGCCAGCTGAGATTATTGGCTTCTAACTGGGCTCCTAGGCTCTGGGGCTTTTTTAACCTAAAGTGCATATACCTTGGGAGCCTCAAAGCACTAAAAAGGAGAACGCAAACCCATCTGTACATAGCAGAATATGTCAACCACGTGTGTGATTGTACTGGCACTAACAGTAACAGTGACAATGTTGAATGCCAGCAAATGTACTCAATGCTTTACAAATGTTACATAGCAAGAATTCTAGCTCTATGCCAGGCATGGTGGCACACACCTGTAATCCCAGCATTCGGGAGGCTGAGGCAGGAGGATCGCTGTGAGTTCGAGACCAGCCTGGGCTACATAGTGAGGTCCAGGTCAGTCTCAACTACACAGTGAGACCCTTAAAAAAAAAAAAAAAAAAAAAAAAAAAAAAAAAGAATTCTAGCTCTTCAGTAAAGTCTGTGTTCCCTTCTCTTTCCTGGCCTGCCTGCAGTCAGGGTAGCTATGTGGCTGAAGTCTGGACACAGAAGGTGAGCAGAAGGGATAGGCACCATTTCTATTCTTGGCCTATAAAACCATCTCTATGCGTGATCCTCTCTGCTCCAGGCACACGTTTGGAGGGACAGTTCCACAACGCCCTTGGAGGCTATCAAGGGAAGAACAGGAAAAGACTCCATCCAAAGAAGAGACCACATGGAGGAGAGCTGCTGACCTTTGTGATTACTTCTAAATTATGGGAATGGGAGTTGGGTGGCAACCAGAAAACATGTTCTTTAAGAAGTCTTTTAGGGATACGCAACCATGACAGTGTGAAGACCTCTTCCCTACAGAGCAAAGGCTGAACTCCTTAAGCAGTTATTCAGCCTAGACCCTCACACTGAATTTGCCTCTGCCGTTTCTCTTGGTTACTGGCGATGCTATGTGACTTTTGAAGCTGTGTCACCCAAGGCCTGTGGCTTCCATATGCCCTGGGAGACTAACTCTTGGAGCCCTGAGTCACCTCATAGAAGTACGAAAATCCCAAAGCTGTGTGATGGACCACATACAGATGCTTTGGTCATTGTCTCAACTAAATACCTCCTTCCATTTACCATCCCCAGTAAGGCAGCAGACACGCAGATGAAGCCATCTTAAACCTTCCACACCAGCCTATCATCTAGCGGAATACTAGAAGTAGACCCCATATGTGATACAGAGAACAAAATTCACCCATGCAAGGTCTGCTCAAATCCTGGCCCACAAAGCCATGAACTGTCAAAAATAGAAGGTTACTGACTTAATCTGCTATGCTTGATATAGTTTGTTATATAGCAAGAGATAACTGAAATACACTTCTTCAGGATCCAAGACAGTCTTCATGTATTTCAAGAAGCATTTTCTAACTATTCCACCCACTGACATCCCTGAGTTGTCTATTCCTTTTTACATTTGTATTGAACTGAACTTTTTTAAGATGCGAATTATCCTATTTCACCTGGAGTCCAACCTCTTTTTATTTCACTATACTTCTTAGACCTTATATAATATGCCTTTGATAAATGTTTGAAACTGAAAAGAAGATTCACATAACATGAGACATATCTATAACTATAAGGTGGAGGGCAGGGCTAGGGAAGGTGGTGGCTCTAACTGGTTTCGCTCATGCTGGACACCAGAATGTTGACAATAAGGGTCAGATAGTATTTACTCAATCTGGTATTAATTCACGTATTTACTAAGTGCTTACTAGTTGCCAGGCCCTATTGATAGAAAATGAACAAAAGAAGGTCTTTCTTTTCACTATGCCTTCCTTCTAAATGAAATAAGACCAAAAAAAACAAACAGACAAAACAAAAAAAAAACCAAAGTTAATTATAATATATTACATTGTAAGTGGCAAAAAGAGAATAAAACAAGAGAAGCGTTCAGAAGTTGATTTTATAGCTTAATTTCCTCTAATAGGAAAATTTTAGTAGACATATCAAGGGAAGGAGAAGAAAGTTATGCCATAAGTCTGGGGTAAAGGCATTCCAAGAAAAATAAGCAGCAAGCATAAATGTTTGCAGAAAGAGCGTCATTTTGCAGTTGAAGGAAGAAAAGGTGGCCAGAGCTTGTTAGTCGGCCTTCCCATTGCTGAGGCAGAACACCCAATGCTCACATCTCAAAGGAGGCGATAATCAACAAAGATATATTACTAAAGGTAATTAAATTTTCAGAGACTATACCTTTTGATTGTTATATATTGATTTGATGTGCTTAGAAATACAAAATATAGAGACTAAAGCAAATTTTAATGAAATCATTTAAGAAAAACCATAATTAAATCACAACACAAATTATAAATAGTGTGATGGGAGAATTGCA